CAGAATATCTAGAACCAGCTCATAATTTGGGTCACAAAAACTTAAAACTGCAATGGTCTTTAAAATCTCTGTTAAATATCTATTTAACAGAGACAGATGAACTAAGATTAAAGTTAACATGACAGATAAAACTTACTCTGTCTAAAAGATGAAAGATTATAGACTGACGCCTTATTTCTTAGTGTAGGTTACACTTCAGTTCCTGTGCATTTTCTACTTTTTTGCAACTCCACCTCACCTTGATCCTTTTTTGTACTGTCAATTGAAGTCTCCGAAGCAAGCTGCTCCTCTTCTGCTTCTTTTTGGCCATCTCTTTTATTCACAAGCACCACTGATTTCCCCTTGATCACACTCTCTCCATCTCTGTCATCTACCTTTGCTTCCCCCACAGTTGTACCTCCTAATTCTACCTCTACTGAAGCTCCTTCCTCCACTAAATGACCTTGTTCTTGTTTTTCTTCTGGTCCATCTGGCTCTTTAGCTATGTTTGCATCTTCCTCCTCAAGTATTGGCTCTCTGACTGCAGTTTGTGTGGCTTCTATCTGATAATTGTCCAAAAGCAGTGCTATTGTCTCACCTGCTGTTTTGTCTAGCCGAGTTTCTTCCTTATCTCCTATCTGTTCCACATCAGCCTCTCCAAGATTGAGTTCAGACTCTCTGTGTACTGCCACCTCCTCAACATCCAGAGTTTCCTTTGTCTCCTGTATTTCTGTTAGTGTTGCACCTTTTTCTTCTGACAGCACAGCCTGATCTTTGTTGTCCTCCTGAATTTTTGCCATTACAGCTGAATACTCTCCTGTCTCGTCTAAAGTGGCTCCAACTCCTTCTACAACCTCATCAATGAATTCAGTTCCTAGCGTCTCATCAATAACCCTCACAGTGTCTGCTTCTCTGACTCCAGTTTCTACACCTGCTGCGGCTTTCTCCACAGATCCAGCTGCTGCTTCATGCTCTTCCATGACAACTCCTCTATCAGATACATCTTCAGATGCATCCACCCCTGCTTCATCCTGCTTCTCTTCAACACCAGCATCTTCTTCACTGATGCCCATATTTTCATCCTCCACTTCCTGCTCCAGCACTTCTGCCTCAAAGTCAGCTTCTTCCTCAGCTGCTTTCTGGACTGTGCCCGGATCCACTTTTGTATCACTCCCTCCATCCGCTTGTCCCAGAGCGACCTCCACCACCTTCTCCAGCAGCTGTTTCAGCACTTCCTCTGTCCTACGGCCCCCCACCTGCTCTGAGGCTTCCTGCACAGCTTGCTGCACCTCCTTCAGGCTAGGAGGGGACAGTACTGCTGGTGCCACCCCTGCAGAGGTTAGCTCTGGTTCCTGTGGTGAGGTCCGTCCATAGGGGGTGCCCTCAGTGGAGGACTGGATAGACGTCATCAGACCTAAGGACACAGTGAACAAACGGGAATATAGTACGTTTAATGACATTAAATTTTTTTTATTGATAGTGATGAATATTGATAATTTAACATACCTAAGGACTAGTTACTACATCTTTGTATATAATATGCATGACATTTTCACATGTAATGAACATATAAAGTATATGTGGTAGCATTATCTCAGATTGCCAGTGAATCAAATCTAAACACATCTATTTATACTCGTTCCTTCACTTTGTCATACTATTATTTATTCATTTTGTAGATTATAGTTAATTAAACTAGTGGTTTGGAATCAGTAAGCACTTGTGACTCGTTCATCAGAACATCACTGTATACATAATCACACCTATCTACTACCTCCCTACCTTGTATTATTAAAACCACTAGGAATCCTTTCAAAGAGCAGTCCTCCATGTGTACTCCAAATGTGTACTCCAAAGCAATCACAGTAATTTCCAGGAAAATCCTTTTAATGTCTTTTGTGTCTAGAAATCTTGCTCAAAATGCCAAGTGTGAGTGTGTACACCACCACAAGACATACACTGAGACTCCGGATGGTTGAACGGCAAATACCCAATGGAGTGTGATCCCAGCAGGTGACGAAGAAATGAGGGAGGGTGGAAAACAAACATTGCCATGTTAAATATTGTCACCTCAAGGTTTCTCTGTACCACCAGGTGTCCCTATGGTGTCGTTAGATGAAGTAGCACCGCAGCGCTAAATGGTTTTGAGACTCTTACAAGGGTTGTGGTGAAGCATGGACGGCATGTCACACACACAGTGAACTCTGGAGGAGCAATTATAAGGAGAGTGTGAGTGATGCAACCATTTAGGCCTGAAACAGTGCTAGAGAAAGCAGAGCTGAGTTGGAGCCCAAAAGACTACAAACAAAATTTCACAATATTTTAAAAATATTTAATGAGTTAGTTTACAGCGTGAAAAAGAATCCCTTATGTTACCAGGTTTTTTATTATATAAAGCATTTGTTTCTACTAAGATGCCCACTTCTCTGTTATCAGTCCGATGTGCACAGCTAGGATGTCGAACAGCACAGTGATGCCTTATGGTTTCCTATTGTTGCATCTAGGGTGTTTCTATTCAGTCTCTTGACTGCATGATTAGTGTGGAAATCCAAAGAAATTGGAAGCAGGTGTTTCATTAATTGGGTTGTTTCTGTGAATGCACATAGTGTATGGCTAGAGGCAATGAAAAATCCCTAGGTGGGTTTTTTTTTGCTGCAGTTTATTTATATTCATGTCTAGGTTAGCATCACAGAGGCACTCCAATTGCACCAAACACCCACTTGGATAGTTTTGTTTTTTATATGGATACAGTCATTGAAGTAAGCATGCATATCCATATTGTAAAAGTACAACAGCCGAATAAAGTAACCAAACATTGTTCTGTTACTACACCTAGTTTATCACATGCTACTTCCATATATCTAGGGCTGCTTAGGTTGTCCACCTCTATGTTACAGACAGCAATATCTCAGGACTTTTTGGATGGTTGGATGCATGTAAAGCTTGACTGTGGTGATCAACAGCCATTTGTGTCTTTCTATTCATGCATGCATCCTAATGACATTGCTTGCCTCTGATGTTCTCTATTGACATTAGGAGATTCAGATTTATGTCTTTGAGTAAAGACACAAATAATCTACAGTGACCAACTAATTTATCGGATGACTATCAAATTTTGCTAATGCTTGAATTTGTTCAAGCATTAAATGCTTGCAAACTGTGCTTTGCAAACTATAAATGCAAAACGGTCAAACTTTCTGATTGTAGCTTGCTGATGTCAGTGTCATAGCTCAAAAAACAGCACACAGCACTATGTCTGTGAAGTTTGTTACTTTCAAACTGAGATCAATCATTAGTAAATAGTAATCTTAGCTGAAGAAATAAGACCAATGTACTGCCTAAGAAGACAGAAATATGGCCAAAAAAACCCCAGCAAATCCAAGTCAATGAGATTTTGATGAAGAAACCTTCTGCTGCTCTCGTGACCCTGTGAGAAGGGTCACCACAGCAGTTTTACACCAGATCTCCTTGCTTACACAACCCGAAAGGGGATTTACATCTGTGGCTGGAATTGAACCAGCAACGTTTGCTTTCCAGGCAAATGTGTAAACACCACACTATGGAGCATATTCAGTGTGGTTTGGATTATATGACATCGTATGCACTTTCCATCTTTACACTTAATACACACATCTACACACTTAATAAGCTGAGTAATTTCATTAGCACAATTTATCGTCATGCTAGATTTTCGCTATCATCTCAACTTTGGTAGCATGACTAGAGCCATTCACTAAACATAAATACCTCTATTCATTCACCCCCACGTCAGTGTGTACTGGAATGTAACATTTTTTTACCCCACCCCCGACGCAACCACACACACCACCACCACCACCCCCATTCCTCAACCTCTGTAAGAAAAAGTAGTGCCTTTGATAGCTCATACCGTAGCTGCATTGTTATCTGCCTAATAATAGTAAGACTTCTGGGAAGCTTTAATGTATCTTGCTTTTCAATGAATCATCTGATCCTCACCAAAGGCTACACTGATTCTTTCACCACAGGACCAGCATGGAAAATGATAAATTCCTGTCATCAAACCAGCAAGATTCCTTCATCTACCAGTTTATTATCTTTCAGACCCATCAGTCTATTGGTCTGTTCTGAGTTATGAAACCAAATATGGATATAATCGTGTTTTTTTAAAAAAAAAAAAAAACAAACATCAATTTTATTATAAGAATGTGTCAGTGTAATTCTCTGTAGTTCTTTGTGTTGCTTTTGAAGCCACATGTAGTGCTGCGCAGTGCTCCCTGCTTAATTTTGATTTTCTTGACAATTCACTGCCAAATCTGCACTTCTGCATATTAAAGACACTCGGTGTCAAAACAAACCAGAGATAGAAACTGAGACTTGGTTGCTTCAGAGGAGCAACAAGACATAACTCAATTGTTTTGTTCTCTGCTTTCTTTGTTTCATGCTTTTAAAGTCTCTTCAACTTTTACTTTCTGATCTCGCTCGCTCTCATTCGTGACTCCAGGAGATTTGGTCTGAAAGGTTAATACAGTCACATGAGCATCACACTGTGCTTTGTGCTACCAGGCAGTAGCACCTCATACTTAGCTTGTGACTAAGTCTGGGAGAGGGGGATTATTACCAAGATGCATACTGTATGCATCCTAACACATATGTCTGATAAGTTTGATGATAGCTTAAAATAAGACAAATAAATACGGACAAGACACAGGTGAAAGCAATTACCTAAAATGAAACCAAACAATGTAGAAAAGGATAACAAGCAAAAGCTAACTCACACATGAAACAAGAGGAACACAAACTTGTCTTACTAAACCACAAGAAAAACAATGCAAAAACATGGGACCATGACAAGGCAAAAAATGAAATTAGATCTTTAATAATGTAAATGGTCAGTGACCCATAGTTGACACTGTCCCTATTTATGCAACGGATTTCCCCAAAGGTGAATAAAATAGACCTTATTCTATTATTTTATCTTATTCCTGTCATCTTACCAAAGGGAAACTCTAGAAAGTGCACGGCCTCTGAAATTGCTCTGTGTTTAGGGCTGAGGGCAGCAGCACCTTGTGCAGTGCTGTGAGTGCATAAGAGCTGCTGTCTGTATTTTGCATGTCAGTGTTGGAATTTCAGAGGCGGTCTCTATGAAGAAAGGGCAGTGGAGGTGAGGAAACCAACATTAGCCTCAACCTACACTAACATGACCTATTTGTTAGCAGCAGAAGGACTAGAAAACAATCACTTTAAGCACATAGCACGTTTTTGTTTGTGGTTCTATATTGTTGATTTGAACAGAAAAGACTTACAGATTTCAATCATTCACAGATGTATTTTAATTTTGCATCAAAAACGTTAACAAAAATGCTCAAGAAGCTTTTTCTTTAAGAAAACAGTGTTTTAGGCTTGAGTCATTTACACTTCTATAAAAGACCGATCAGAACACAAGGTCATTATTGTCAGGTCTACATTTTCAGATAGATGTAGCTCCACTCTAGGCTGTATCATTTTTATGCAAGAAAACAACAGCAGCACTGTAGACTCCCTAATGAGTGTCATGCACATAGAAGGAAAACAATGAATTTACTAGTTTTGAGACATTTGCCACATGTAGGCGATCCATGATCAATTTTTTTTTAAAATTTGTGTCTTTCTTTTTTATGTCTGCTAGTGGTGTGTATGTGTTTTACAAATATTTTATGTCATTGTGGGAAAGGATTTGTCCTCCCTTATTTCCTGGAGTGATGCACTTAGTTACTCTTCTTCAAAATATGTGGTCAGGGTCAAAGAAAATATTTTTTAAAAATGGAATGCACTTGCCCTTAAGCAGGTAGAATAACTGAAAACAATAAAGTGAAATTAAGACAAAGAAAGAGCCCATGATTTTTCACAGTACTTCATTTATTACACCATTAAGCTACACAATCTAAGCATATAGTTGACTCCTGCAGCATCTGTCCAAGCCCATGGAAGACAAACTAAACAACAAAGAAATGGACAACATGTGAA